CCTGGTATAGCTAAAGTCTGTGGCATAGCCCTAGCCTGAACTGCAGTGGCCATCAGACCCTGAACTGAGGGGCTACCAAACAGCAAAGGCAGGAGAGAAAATGGTGGCTGGTAAGTGCAAACACAGCCCCCAGTCCTGAGATGTGAGACACACACTTTCTCCTGGCATGAGGCTGACAGTAGCCTACAACAGGCAGAGACCAAGAAATGAGAAACCACAAAGCACCTAGGGAAGCTGCTGCAGAACAAAAGCAGTTGTGGAAATGCATGAAAATACACGGGTTAAATCAAAGCGAGAGCCTCGTAGTCATCTTTCGACCCCTCTGCCAGAAGGGCTGGGATAAACGGGAGCCAGGCTGCAGCTCTTCTCAAGCAGGCAAGGAATTAACAGGATGAAACTGGATTCATGTATTATTCAAGCAAACTCATAGCAGCGCAACAGCTCCACTATCTCCTCTGCCTGCCTCATGCTCTTTCGGCTCCCAGGCCTCTCTCGTGGTCTTGAATATGCATTGCCCGTGCTCATGCATGTTCTCTCCAGTTGGCAAGACCTACCACACATTATGAGTGAAACAAGGGAGAAGAAACCTGGTTAGCCATCTGCAACATGGGTGGACAGATAAATGATGGGGACATCTGGAAGGAAGAATCGACATGTAACTAGGACACGTCTCTGGAGGTTATTGCAGGAGAGATCCTTGCTGCTCATCAGCTGCTTGGATTTGAAGGTGTTCAGAGCAGAATGGAAACTCCCAAAGCCGCCTTATGTAGTGTTAGTTTGAGGACAGGCCAGAATTAAGCTGACTTGTTTTCTGTGCTCTCCCTTAATTAGGTATAACAGGTTTACAAAGTGAGGTGAGCACTTTGAATAACTGAATCACAGAAAAGTAGGGCTCAAAGTTACCTTTGGAGGTCATTTAGTCTATCCCCTTGCTCAAGGTAGGCTCATCCCTCTGCAAGCCATCCTATACAAGTCCTTGTTTTAACTTATTCCTAAAATGATACAGTCAACCCTGTTGTAGTTATGTGTACTAAGATCACAATGTGAGGCTATGAGAAACATACATGGGAGTGAGGAAGAAAGGGGTAGGAAATAACACCACAACGTCTAGCAGGAAATAAAGGACAGAATAAGCTTCTGCTTAATATCAGCTAAATGGCAGAGAGAAAAAATGTCTCCCTTATTTACATGCATTAAATATGTTGGTATGGATGGAAAAACATCCATTCCCCCCACCAAGCAGCTGCACGCAGCTGCACACTCCAGCTGTGACCCTGTCCAGATGTCGATCCTTCAACTCTCCCATGAAATACGAACTTTCATTTCTACCCAGGAGAACTATTACAATCTTTTCTCCAATGCCTGATGAAGGGTGTCAGTGCCCCAAATCTTGCAATTAAAGAATTTTTTGTTGTTGTTGCTTTAGAGGCCCCTTGTCTGTCTGCAAGTCTTGCTTCTACTTGGCTTGAATTCACGTGCGGTCCCTCAAAAGTCACTCTTCCGCATGTCCTCAGGTCACAGCTCTTCCTCCCCTCATAAAGACCACGCAATTTCAGCCAGGGGATAATGGATGGTCCCAAATTGCTGCATGTTTCTGTTGTCCCTTCTGACAGGTAAGTGGTCCATTTGTCACTTAGCAACAGCATATGGTGACTGGGAAATAACGGGTTGTTAGCATGATGGAAGTCAGCAAATGCTGAGCAGAAAGGCTTGCTCAAACAGCAAACTGCTGTGCCTCCAAGGCGGCTTTCAGCATTAAGGTGAAGACATGGACACCATTAATTAAGGAGGAAGGAGAAACAAAACTTGTTCTTCAGCAAAAGCATGAGGACTGGAAGGTTGGTTTGACACAAGTTCTTCTGGAGGGAATGAGAAGAGTCCATAGCAATGGTCAGGATGGAGAAAACACTTAGAGGCCCAAGAGATTAGATGCCCTCTCTGGCAAAATACCAGCGGCAATGGCACTGGGTCCAAAGCACGGCACACGGGAGTTGTGGAGGATGGGACATGTGGCTGGAAATCTCACGGTGTGATTTCCAGTTCCATGTTTCAGGGCTCCCCAAACGTGACGATGGTCCATGAGCCATTGTCTGAGAGCTGCGTCTCTGGCCAGGAAATTCGAGGTGTGATTCACATTCTTCTAGGGTCTGGCCAGAAGTTTCATAAACCAGTTTGACCCAAATCAGTGAAGTCTGATACTCCATTCAACCAGGTTTATCTTTCAGCAGTTTTGAAACTGGTTCATGTGCACTGAACTTCTGTTTGGTTACAAGTTTAAATCAGTTTCTGATTACTTGAACCAGTTTATGTGCAACTTCTATCCCTAGCCCTAGAGAAAGGAGCATGAATGATCCATCAGTACTGGGTCAGCTGCCTATGATTGCAGGGTGGTAGGAGTGGGTCAAGTCCAGCTCCCCCTGTCTCCTTCCTGATAGGGTAAAAGAAGCCCCTTTCTCTCTTACTTTTCAACAAGCAAGCTCACTTCACCCATGAAACATCACATGGATGATGCATTGGCCAACTCTTAATTGAAGCAATTTGGTGTGTTCTGCACTGGAGTTCTTGATAGAAGTATCTTACTGAAGCGCAGGGAGGACATTTCAGGGGAAATAATTGCAAAAGGAAGAAATCTGAAATTAGTTCTGTGATAGATGATCCCTTTGAAGGCTGAAATGGTAGAAGTAACGAGATTTTCCCATCAATGTTGCAGACACATTTTTATGCAGTTAGGTTTTTATTTTTTTTAAAGAAAAAGCTAAGGAATGGGCCTGATAATTCAAGATGTCCCCGAGGTTCAACAGAAGGATTTGAATAATGTCGTTAGCTTATTTCTCTGTGTTTAGGAGAGGATGTTGTTCAAAGCTCGTCTCTACATGGGTCTCAGAGCAGCCGTGTATGCGTAGCATACCTACCCCAAAGGGCCCCATTCTGAAGTGCCGTAGGGGCAGAGCTAAACCTCTAATTAGATGGGCCTCAAATCATCTCCAGAAACAAGCCTGAGCTTTGAAAAAGTCATAGACTCATAGAAAATTAGGGTTGGAAGGGACCGCAGGAAATCATGTAGTCCACTGGAAGCTTTAATAGTGCCCACAACTGCATTGGTTACATACACTAACACTGTCTACACTGCGCAACTCTTTGAGATGAAGTCAAATCAGAGAAGTTCACTTTGGTTATCCCTCCGCTTCGTCAGTCATTGGCACAAGCCTGGGCAGCTCAGCCTAATGTTTAACTTGAAATTACAGGACAACTTATTCACAACAACACCCTTCGTGTTAGAGCTGGAAGGACCAAAATTAATGGTGCATTTCAGCCCCAGGTTGTAAGCCTCGGTGACAATCTAGTAATGGATGTAGAACAAACCAGTATCGGCTGTTTTGATGCAAACAAAGCAAATGTGCAAAGAATTTTCCATCCATGCTTTAGCTCTCCCAATTTTATGCATCTGCCCTAGGTGCCTAAGCTACATTTATCAAAGCCATGCAGACCTTTGGTTCCCAGGCTTCTTGTGCTCAATTTTGTTTAAGTGAAAGCCATGCTTGTGCTATTTGAGCACAGATATTCTTTACTCATTTAGCACGAACACCTGAGACTGCAAATAGTAGAAGGGGAGTCTCAAACTCAGGCCGTTTACTGTCCCATCATGCTCTCATGGCTGGACCTTGTGTTTCATCAGGGTTTACATGCTAATGTGGGCAGACCAGCAGCCCCATCAAGGTGGGGGCTAGATCCTGTTGTACCAAAAGGGATAGCACCTGGGAGAGTCTGGATCCCCTTAGGCAGATAATGGCACTGAGCCTGGGTCTCCCACATGTGATCTAAGCTGTAGGTTATTGCGTAAAAGAAGGGTAGTGCCAGCACCAACCCTATAGTATTGGACAAGCAAGCAGTGAGCCCACCCCAATTTTTAAACCTCAGTGGGAGGTCCTCACCTTCGGGAGTGTATTTGGGGCCAAGAACCCAGAGATGTTTTCCCACCGCCCTGAGTCACAGAGCCAAGCTCTTGAGAGAGGACAGTAAGGCCAACATATCTATTGCATATCGGGTCCGACCGGCTCCCTGCTTACTGCATGGGCTTGCTCTTTTGAGATGCTCTCCCCATGCATGGTACAGGGAGCCTATTTGCCTAGCTCAGCACCTAAATTGTAGTGGCCTAATTCTCTCTCTCCCAAAAGCACTAATGACAGGATCCCAAACCCGTCCAATCCATTGGGTGTTCTTCCGTCGGCAGTAGCAATCTCCAGATCTGGCCTTGATAGGATGCTTCCCCTCTTCCTCTAGCTGTTGTAACGCAGTGGATATCATCCAGGAGGTAAACTCATAGTCCTGCTGAGCTCACAGGCAGTAACTTAACCTGTATATTTAAAGCTTGCAATTAAAAAATTTTTGTTTGCAAAAATCTAGTCGGTCTAATAAAAGATATCGCCTCTACCACGAGGCCTGATTGCTTTTTCCTCTAGACCAATATGGTGACAACCTGCATAAATAACACATGGAAGATATCGAATTTTAGCCGATTTTTAAAAATGAAGTCTTCGTAATTTTACAAGCAACTTTGAGCACCCGACACCTGAGATCCTGCTCCTGCCTTTGTTTGAAGTAATTTGCATCTTCACAACACAGACACCTCACCAGAGAAGAAATTCCTGCCCAGAGGAGCATCCCACCTATTTACTCCTTTGTGAAATATGAACCACCATCACCAGAAGGAAATACGAAGACATCCTGCTCACCAACAAACAACTTGGAGGTAAACAGACTATTCCAACTTTTCTCTGAGCTGAATCTGCATATCAAATGAACTTTTCCAAACAGGAGATGTTACCGCCTTCAACTCTCCCATGAACTACGAACTTTCATTTCTACCCAGGAGAACTGTTACAATCTTTTCTCTGATGCCTGATGAAGGGTGTCAGTGCCTGAACGCTTGCAATTAAAGCACTTTTTTTGTTTTGCAAAAATCTAGTCGGTCTAATAAAAGATGTCACCTCTACCACGAGTCCATGTAAAGATCAAGCATTCGAGGCCCGTCATCAACAAAGGAGGAATGTGAAGTCAATAGCAAACCGCTGGGAGTTTGTAGAAGGAGGGCTTCTGAGGACACGGTCTTCTTCAGCCTGCGGACGCCTAATTGCGGTAGGTGCCGGCAAATGGACGGCACTGGGACGCGCCGAAGGAGCCTTTGAACGGCTCTCAGAGCATCTGAACACTTGTAAAGTGCTGTCCTTACGCTAATCAGCATTTAGCTCCTGGCAGCAGAGTGTGTTCGAGCAAACCGGTGTTCGTTCCCAAACCGTTGTTCTGCGTCACGAGGAGCCACTGGATAATATATGCCACAGCCTGGGGGCTTGTTTCTAGAGAAGTTTAAAAGGTCCAATCCACCCACCAGGGAAATAAAACAGAGCTACAAACAAGCTCCTACACGAGCCCCATGCAACGATAATGTGGGAACCCAGAGCTTCGCGTTTCCCCTTGCTAATCTCAGAAATTGGAGGCCTGTGCTTGATGGTGTTCCAGGTAACCAGCCCTTGTCTTGAGCGCAGACTTGATTTTTATGGTTCTGTCGGGAAGGGGACTTCTTTGATAAGCAGAGTCCTTTAAAATGCTTATCTTTTTTAGAAGCTCGCCAAGCTGTTGGGATTTTATATGTTTAGCTCTGCCTAATACATGAGTAATGATTCTTCTTGTACGCTAGCCTATATTGCTGTTGAGGTTTGCTGAAAGGTTTTCTCTGGCTGAACTGGGTAGATAGACAGATAGATATTGATACTGATATATCGATAGACATTGATACAGTGGACATTGGTACAGACAGATAGATAGATAGATATTGATATATCAGTAGACATTGATACAGATGGACATTGATATAGATAGATAGATATTGGTATAGATAGATATTGGTATTGATATAGATATTGATATAGATGGACATTAATATAGATAGATATTGATATAGATAGACATTGATACAGATATTGATATATAGTGATATAGTTAGATATTAATATAGACAGGTATTGATATTGATACAGATAGATAGATAGATAGTTTTTACACAGACATTACTAACTAGCTAGCTAGGTAATTCATTTAGAAGGCACCAATCACCATGTTATCCAGGCAATGACTGGCATCACTAGAGTATTGCTAACAAAGCGTGATAGCAGTAAATACCTAAGGAATGTGAAATATAGGCTAATGGCCTCCATTCACCCATTAAAAAAAAATACTCAGAGCCACATTTAATCCTGGCAATAAACTGTCTGTTGCTTGACCTGCTATCCTAGCAATCAGCAGAAGTGAGGAAAAGAATGAAAATATTCTGCACCCACGTGTATGTGAGACATAGCAAACGAGTGCTATTTACACAAGGATAAGTCTGGAAAAAGTTCATTGTGAAGTCTCGACCTCTCCCTCTGTTCCAAGCTTCTTTTTAAACCATCTGTGAAATTTCATAGATAATGCTTTATCCGTGGGATTCATTCTACCTAAGGGCTTGTGTGAACGCTGGAGATGGAGCCTACCCCTATTGAAATAAATGACAAAGCAATCAGGATTGGGCCCAGGATAGAGATTTTCAGGACGATTTTTTGCTGCTTAAAGTGCTGCTAGCATTGTACAACAAAGCCCTTAAAAATGAACCCTGTTAATTAGAAATACAACACGGGGTCTGTCCACACAAACATTTGTTTCTTATACAAAAGGGATTTTAATTTGCCTTGGAGGAGGACAGAAATCTATAGGTATGTCAGATGCATACAAAATGAACTCTAAAGTGCATTAATTATCTGCAAATTGTAAGATAATAGTTTTATCTGAGAAACACATTTCTTCCACGTTTTATTTGCCCTCTGCCATTACGTTATTGCATTTCTCTATCAGGTTTAATGTTTTCTGTAGCGGACGGAGCTGGGGAAGCGTCAAAACATTTCCATTGAGATTCACTTGAGAGTTTAAATGGATGTGATTCAGTTTGCGCTCATGAGATGCTTTGCTCATTTTCCACAATTAAGCTTGGAAATGGAGATAGCAGGCGAAATGTGTACTGGAACAATTTTTTTTTTAAAGCAAATAATGGAAAATATTCTATAAACACGTTCCAGATTCATCACTGCAAATATTCATGCTGGCATCTGACTCGAAGAGTTAAATGCTGCTGGGGTCATGCAAAAAACTTTGTGTGCCATCTCCAGGTGTAGCAAAAACACCTCAAATTATGAATAGCAAACAGTCACAATTAGCGGCTTGTTCGGTGGGCTGCAGACCAAGAATTATTCCCAGAAATTATTCAGCAACCATTTATTTAATAACAAAATAATTCCACTCTCCTAAACACGTCCATTAGACTCATTTGTATCTGGGATTTCAACCTATCACTCGTTCCCGAGCCTCTTCACAGTAATTCCTACTCCAGATATTCACTGGAAACCAAAGGACCTGATAAAACACCCTGGGAAATTCTCCACTGACTTGTATCAGGTTGGATTGAGCCATAACAGAATAAAATCATGGGCTCTGTCCTACATCCTCTATGGGTACGATTAGTGTTCAGTCAAGGACATGATTTCAGCGGGACAGCCTACAGTCCCAGGATCGGAACCTCTCCGTGTTCATACATGCCTCTCCCTTCAAATAGAAAAAAAGCTTATATTGCTATGATGCTTGCCCTGATTGGGACCGTGTGCGTGTGTGTTTCAGCTGGCGGACTCCGACCCTAAATGTGAACTCGATGAAACGTAAGTAGCTTCTCTCTTCCACGCTTTAGGGGTGTAGGTTGTACCGTGTTGGTCCAAGGACATGGGCAGACAAGGTTCTTTGGGTAAATCCGATATCTTTCATTAGACCAAGCAAATAGTTGGAAAAATAATTCTTTGCAAGGGTGCGCGCCCGAAAGTTTGCAAAGAACTATTTTGCCAACTATTTAGTTGGTCTAATAAAAAGATATCACATCTACCCAAAGAACCGTGTCTGCCCACTAGCTGCTCTCCACCGTCTTCCCGAGTCATGCACTAGGAAGCCCTAGCTGCTTTAACTAAGAGAAACATGGGTATGAATGCAAAGAGGGTAGTAAGGGGTAGCAAAGGCTCTTTGGTTTTTCCATGCCATAGATATTAATGCAAAGAGGGTGGTAAGGAGTAGCAAAGGCTCTTTGAATTTCTCTTTAACAGGAGACAGAGGGAAGCACAGAGAAGGTCTGCTGTCAGGTTCATTTATCATTTTTCTGTTTTACACATGTTGCAAGAATAACTTTGAGTTTCACAGAGTGGGCAATGGTCGTGGTGTATGCATAAGATGCCTAGTTAGATGCCTGATGGACCTGTTTGTGGCTGACGAGGCCCATTTGAGAACGGCACGGCTTGGAACAAGTGTCACAGATCCAGGTGGGGTCTGAGTTGGAGTCCAAGTTTCTTGCACACCACTTTCTTCTCTCTCGCTTTGCTTCCATCCTCTGGTTCAAAGCCACGTCGTGCCGACCTGCACCCAGTGCCAGATGTTCCCTCCAGAACGGACAGGATTCTGTGCCCTCCTCCCAGCTTTCTACATTTCATAGTTTCATAGTTTCTAGGGTTGGAAGGGACCTGAATAGATCATCTGGTCCGACCCCCTGCCATGGCAGGAAAGATTACTGGGGTTAAACATTGATGTTGAACAACTTCCTATCATAAAATCATAGAATCAAAGGACCGGCAGGGACCTGTAAGATCACCAAGTCCTGTCCCTGCCATGGGCAGGAGGTCTTTGGGCTCAAACGAGCTCAACAAGGCGCTTGTCCAGCCTCTTCTTGAATGCTGCCAGGGATGGTGACTGCGCCATCTCTGATGGGAGCATGTTCCAGATTTGAGTTACCCATATGGAAAAGAAGTTTTTCCTTACGTCCAGCCGAAACTTTTCCTCAGCTAACTTGTGCCCATTGGACCTCGTCCTTCCACGGGGTGCTTTTATGAAAAGTTGCATGTATCTTCACCTGTTTGGGACTGAATTTTGTGGGGTCCTAGATCCCGGTGTTCTCCCTTGACATATTTGTAGGCGGCTATCGAGTCGCCCCTCTGCCTTCCCTCCTCACAGGGCCTGCCCCCGAGGCCCTTGATCATGCGGGTGGCCCTTCTCTGCACCATGTTGAACTTGTCCACATCCTTCTTGAAGTGTACTCCACAGTACTCCAGCTCTGGCCTCACCAATGCCAAATAAAGGGCAAAGAGCACCTCCCTGGATCTATTGGCGACGCATCAGCTGATGCACGCCAGAGTCCTATTTGCTCTGTTGGCGACTTCATCCCACTTTTGGCTCATATTCATCCTCTGGTCAGTTGTCACCCCCAGGTCCCTTTTGGATGCAGTGCCAGGCAAGGGACCACCACCCATCGTGTAGATATGGTGAGGGTTTTTCCTACACAGATGTAGGACCCAGCACTCATCCCCGTTGAATCTCATCTGATTGCATTCGGCCCAAAGGACCTGTCAAGGTCATCCTGGATCTTTGTCCTGTCCGCAGACGTGCCTGCTTGTCCCCACAACTTGGTGTCATCTGAAGACTTAATCATTGTGCTTTTCATTCCCTCATCCAGGTCATTGATAAAGATGTTAAGGAGCATGGGCCCTGAGGGACACCACTGGAGACGGCCCTCCAGGATAAGGCCACCCCATCAGTTATGACTCGCTGGGATCGGCTGTTGAGCCAGTTGCCCACCCACCTCACTGTAGCCTGGTCTAGGCCAGTCATCTCCAACTTAACTGAGATGATTTCATGGGAAACAGTATCAAAGGCCTCGCTGAAATCTAGGTAGATGACGTCCACCTCCTGTCCCATGTCCAGCTGGTGAGTTACCTGGTCATAAAAGGACACCAGGTTTGTTAGGCATGACCTCCCCGCGACAAAGCCATGCTGGATATTTCTCAGCACCCCACCAGCTGCGAGCTTGTGGTGGATGGCTTCCTTGACAATTTTTTCGAAGATTTTTCCCAGGACCGAAGTCAGACTGACCAGTCTATAATTAGCAGGGTCACCCCTCTATCCTTTCTTAAAGATGGGTACCAGGTTCACCTTCTTCCAGTTGTTCAGGACCACTCCATTTTCTTGGGCAGGGGCCGGGACTTCCCCACCATGATGC